CCCGTCCACCTTCTGACGGTGTCTGCCTCCGCGCACAAAAAATGAGATGGGCATCGCTGCCTACGCCGACGGCCAGAGGCCCGCGCATCTACATTTTTTCGCCTGACCCCATCAGTGCCGACCCAACTACACCACCACGCGCATGCCTCGCGGCGGACATGCGCAGCAGCAAGAAGGTTTCGGTCATCCCTTGAGGGTGAATCTAGCCCTGCTCGCCAGAAAGACCCCCCCCTTCACTAGAACCCATGTCTAAGCAAAAGCTTGTCGAGGAGCGAGGGGAAGAAGGGAGAAGTATGACTAGACTAGAAACATTACCGAGCTTCGATTGAGTATGTTGACAGACTGCCTCCGACAGCACAGCAGTGCTCATTTGCACACCCAGTTCTGAGATACAACGGACCAGTACGGCGGGATTCTTGTGTTGCGTTTTCGTCCCATCTACGCCAATGATCTATTGCCGGTAAATGCCTTGACGTGTCGTCGAGGTGCTCTATCGCGGGCCCTTGTGTACCGTAGGTGACGTGACATGAGATACCACCCCCTGGATGAAAGCCTTGTTTCTCCGCAGCAGAAATAGTCGCGGCGCCGAGAACCGCGGTGTTGAAGCCGTCTGGTCGACAGCTTTCCGAAGTCATATCGGTCTTTGCGTCCTCTTCGTCGTGGACAGTGGAAGTAAACGAGCTCTTTTGTGAAAATGGGTTAGGGGATATGATATCTTGCGCTATGTCACCCACGGCTTGCATGAGTACCTTGTTTTGCCTGTTGGGACATGCATCTCTCATGTACCTGTTTTGGTCTAGAGTCTCTTCACACGCTCGTGTCCATACTGCAGTTTACCATATTGATCCCTCCGGAGTGGACGTCTCATGAGGAAACAACAACAGTGATCGATGACTATCACCAGGGACCTTACTCCCAGCTGTACGGACATGTCGACATTTCCCAAGCTTACGTATGCGTATGGTTAGCCAATGAATTACTTGTTTCTTTCTCGCTCTAGTCGTACACCGAGGAGAGGACACCAATCAAAGTGGAGCTCGATGGCAAAACGCAAACTTCGGCTGCTGTAGCTGGGCAACACCTACGACGTTGCAGGGCAGGTTCTCCGACTACCGCCCCCCACCTGTTTCCGAGATTTTTCTCTCCGTCGTAAAGATTGTTTGCAAGAAAGTTCTCTGCGGCGTCGCTTTTTCTTCCGTTTCGTAGGAGGCAAAGGCCTTGATCGAGCTGGAGAAGCCGAGACTGTGGCAGACTTTGGAGGAGCTAAGGGACCGCGCGAGAGACGTCGAAGAGAAAGTGGCGTCTCTCTCGGAGCGGGCACGGGAAGAAATGGACGAGGTGTGTGCTCTATTGTTTTCATCTCTTGTTCGGTAGCCTTGACGAGAATATTCTGTGTGCACGTTCCAGTTCAAATTGTTGTCGGGGCAGACGCCTACGTCCGTTTTCGTGCCGAATTGGACATCGTTTGTACGCCCGATTTTACTGTTGTGGTACGAGTGTTGCGCTTGGCCTGGAGTCATTTTGGATTTGACGTGCATACCCGGCCTGCGGTCCCCCCCGTACCTTCCTTGTGGGGCCTTCTCATACAATGCTACGAGCTAGAAGAAGTGTTGGTTAAATTTCTCATTGAGTATAAAAAGGAAAGACTTCGACAGTCGTTGAAAGCACCTTTCTTGAAAATTACTTTCTCTACTACACTTCTTTGCTATCTCATTAACCGTTGTGGATCCCCCCACCCCCGTCCGCCCAATATGTGCACAACAAACACTGAGTTTGTCATGGTCGTAACCCTACCCATTGCCACATCTGTTGTCCCCCTTCGTCTTGTCAAAACCTGACGCCTGTCTGTATTTGTTGGACAAAACGATTCAAATATCTTGGGCTTAACCATACCGGAAACCACTTCTGTTTTCGTTGTCGACACGTTTGTTCCCCTCTCCAAAAAAAAACAAAAACAATCCATGTCTCGAAAGGATCCTTGGCCGAGACATGAGGGGGCTTCTTTCTTGGCGCTCAAGCAGACGCTGCTCCTGAGCTACTGCCGCGAGATCTGCTCCTACGCGGCTGCCAAGGCGAGGGGCGAGGCCCTGGGAGGGGGGGGGGCAGCGGGGAGGCTGGTGGAGCTCCGGACGGTCATGGAGAAGCTCAGGCCGATGGACAGGTGTGTTTGTGTGTGCCCATCTTCTGTTGTATTGGTGTGTTCTTTTTGTTTATTTTGTATTGCTTGTCGATTTGTACTTGCTCCTGATGCATCACACCGGCACTCATGATGTCGTATTCTCATTATGTGTTGCTTGTTGTGTTTTGAGGGAGAAGTGGGCGTCGACCAATCAGCTGGGCTCATTTCCACGCTGATTTTAACGAGTGGTGCCCGATGAGTCGCGTTTTGACCAGGATATACCCTGCTGTGTCCTTCGCCGTTCTGTTCAGGTCAAAATATTTGGATGAGCTTTCTCAGGAACCATACCCCACCTAGACCGTTGTCGTTTTTCTCTCAGTTGTAGATTGTACTTAAATGTTTGAAGAACTATGAAGAGGAACATGGTGCTTTCGTTTTGTGTTGGAGTCGGCTTCTGTCGGTTCTATTCCTAACCGACAACGCCAAATGGAACAGTCTGCTCCGGCTGACGACTGGCTTGCTCTCCGAAACACTGCCGCGGATATTTTCCCTCTCAACCAGCGGCCGCAGCAACAACCGCCGCAGCACCACCTTCAACATACCAAACTTTAGTTCATCAGCAGCCTCTGTGAGGCCTCATCCGCGGTATGTTTTTTTGTTTTCGCTGCTGCTCTGATGAGGCAGGAAGCTCAAGTACCAGACGGACAAGCTTTTGCGGGTGGCGGCATCTGCCGGGGGCTCCGCGGACGGGGAAGTGGGAGGTAGCGGTGGCGACGACGATCCCCTCAGTTTCAGGCCTCGCCCGGAGGGGATGGCGCCGTGGGGCGAAGACCCCAGCACAGCGGCGGAAGGTATCTACCGGTAGATATCTAGATCTACTACTGCTGCGCATTCGGCCACAACTACGGATTGGTGTTTTCGTCGTGGAACAACAGGATGTGACTAGCCATATTTTTGTATTTTGTGGTCGCTCAAGACTGCTGCTGCGTTGTACGTATTTGTAAGTTCTTGCTGTTTGGGTTCGCTGTGGTCCGTTCGCTACAGTCTCTTGGAGTCAAGAGACACGTCAGATGTCGGGTCGGTTGGGCTTGGGAGACGTCGTCACAGGTGTCAGTCATCTGTTGGCTGGTCCTGCTGCCTTCTTTTTGTTCTCGTAGTACTACTCGGTGGATTTCGTCTCTGACGCCTTGCCAACAGCTGACTCAAATTGATCGTGACGGCTCTTGTCCACCACTATGTTGTGTGCTCTCTGTATGCCTGCAGACAGCGGAATCGATGCGGAAAGGTCGTCATCATCGGCAGGGCGAGGAGGGGAGGCGGACCAGGAGGGCCTATACAGGTGCGCCACTCTTTAAATGTTTCGCATAGCAGGAAGAACAGCTAATGGGCTATGTGTGTGTTGATGATTGTCATCGACCGAACTAGCTAACGGGCTGGCCGATGAAATACTTCTCTCCGTGTGTGTTTGATGACTAGCATTGACCAAGCTAGCTAACCGGCTGGCCAATGAGGAGACTTCTCTCAGTTCGTTTGGTGATTAGCATCGACCGATCTAATCGGCTGGCCAACGAGTAAACGTCAGTCTTGTAACGGACAAGTGTGTGTGTGAGTACGGTATTTAGGTGTTTTCTTCATTGTTCGGTGTTGCAGAGGAGCAGCTATTAGATAATGGTTTTTAGGTACGTTTTATTCTTTGTACGCCTAGTTGATGTGCTGATGATGATGCCTGCGTGGGTTTGTTTTTGTGTCTGGTTCTCATTGTAGGCATAGATCGCGCTGTTAAGCCGGCAGACCAACGAAACTACCATGAGCCCCAGTGCCGCTATAAATGGTACACGAATTCATAGGCCATGAACTGGGACCAACGTCTGACCACATTGTCAAATTTTGGTTTTTCCCCCAATAATTTTTCAGATTATCCCCTCTGACTGGCTTCCACGGATATCTGTGTTTTTTTTTTTTTTCATATTTTTTTCCTATTTTCAGAGCACCGCGTCTGGCTTCGATGTCCTACGGCGAGGACGGCTTGTCGACCCCTTCTGACCGGCTTCCACGGATATCTATTTTTTTTTTGTTTATATTCCTATTTTCAGAGCACCGCGTCTGGCTTCGATGCCCTACGACGAGGACGGTCTGTCGACCGGCGCCGCGAGGGGAGAGAAGAGACTGGAGCGTCGGAGAGACAAGCTGCGCCGCGGGGAGGTGATGGAGACCCTTCGCGAAGAGTTCGGCGAACAGCCCGAGACTGTCAGGTGCGCGTTGTGCAGGGCACAGCCAAGGGCCCCCGGTAGTTACGGTTCAATGGTGCAGGCGTTTTGGGATGGCACAGACCGAATCACCATGTCATTCAGTCCTTTAAATTGTGCCGGTCCCTCTGAATGGTGCCGGCTACGGTATATTATATATTCTGGGTTTAATCTATTATTTACTACTCTATTTTTTCAGCATGGCAGTGACGTATCGGACAGCCCTAGACTGATAGTTCAACATGTACAAGGGCATCTTTTCATTCTATTATTCCGAGGGTGCTGGAACAATGATGCATCCCATCGTCGGCATGTATGTCATCTTTCAGGGCGGTGGGGAACGCCGGAGACCCGGGTGCGTCGGGCTAAAAGCGAAGGGTGCATCACCTTTTTGCGGCGTAAAGCGTGCACCTTTACCTTTTCCAGCGTAAATCGCGGTACCCTTTGTGGGCGTCCTCCTGTTGAGCATGTTGCGTGTACGGACAAGTGCTAACTCCTGTTGTGTCCGTTTGGTCAACGCTCGTTGTGTTCCTCGTTCTCCTTGCTGTTCTTCTTTCAGGGCGGTGGGGAACGCCGGAGCCTCGGGTGTGTCGGAGGCTAAGATGAAGAAGCTGCTGGAGGAGGACAAGGAGCGCCTCGACTTCGAAGAGGACCACATGGTTCGCTTGGTGAGCCGTGTTGTTGTTTTTTTTGTTGGTGGAGTTCGAAAAGTTCGGTTTATTGTTGTTGGTTGTTGGTGTTCTTGTTTATGCCTGTTTTTGCTCTCGTTGGGTTTGCATCCTTTTTGATCCTGACTGTAGCGGACTGGAAGTAAGTCTGCACCTTTCGGACTGGGCGGGACGACGCGCGCACACTTTCGATTCGGGGATCATCTGCGTTCCGTGCCTACAACCCTGCGTTGTAGTATGGCCTATGAGAGTAGCCCTACGACTCTCCGAATCGTGTCAGAGCCACGCAAAACAGTTCTGAGAGTGCGACCTTCACGCTGTTATGCGGCAACACCCCCGATCCCATGAAATACTTCTGAGCGGGGACATACCCCGTTTTCAAATGTTTCTGAGCTTGCGTCGTGCGAACCAGCGGTAGCGGTGGGAACACTCCCAGTAACGTAGAGCGTGCCACATGCGGACCCACGAGAAATTCATGCTACGGTATTGTATGTTTCATCTTTCTGTTTGAGACCAATCCGAACATATGAGAGACCTATTTCGGCGGTGTCGAGCTCCCTCTTCTACCGTAGCTGGCACTGCTGCACTTGATTTTTCTCAAATTGGAGTGTAGTGAGGGGCCATGTTACGTGCCGATTGAAAAGTGCAGGTGTCCGATATGGTGCCGGTCAATGCTCTGGGCTCATTGGGGCACATAGTAGGAATCCCCTTCCGCTGTACTTCAGTTTATTGTTGCGGTTGGAAACGTTGAGCGCAGGCAGCATCTTGTCTTGAGGGTGGGCAGAGCTTCAGTGATGATCATCGATTCTGCAAGTCCGACAGAGATAATGAGGATTCGAACTCTTCACTTTGACCTGAGAAGCCTGTATGTTAACTCTCGCGATATCGTAAGAGATTCTGCCGTGTCGTTCGACATACCTCGACTCTTATCTCAGTACTTTGTTTTTGTGCGTTGTGAGTAATATGTGTTGTGCGTTGTGGTTACTCAACGTCTAGACTATGCGGGACAAGGCGAGTACATGTTCGATTCGGGGATCATCTGCGTCGCGTGCCTGCAACTTTGCGTTGAAAATTGTGGCTATCATCGGAATAAGGCTGCGACCGTCCGTATCGTGTCAGAGCCAAGTTTTTCACACTATTTTTGGCATCACCCCCAATCACATGAAAAGCTTCATTAGTGGGTACGTACCCAGCGGACCTAGGTATCTCCGAATGACTTTTATACCTGTGAGCGTGCATCCTGCCAACCTATTGTTGGCAACACTCCCAGTCACGCTGACACTTCTTGCGTGCCACCTGGGGACCTATCAGAAATTCATACTCTTACGGTATGTTTTAAACTCGATACAGGTGGACTTTTTCGGCGGTGTCGAACTCTTTTCTATCGTACAGTAGCCGGCACTGCTGTACATGGTTTGCGGGATTTTTGTGCTGCTTTTTCTCTACGGTTGGAAACGTTGAGCTCAGGCGGAAATTTTGGCCAAGTACGGGGCTGGCAGAGCTTCAGTGATGATCATCGATTCTGCAAGTCCGATCAAATTTATGAGGATGCGAATTCTTCACTTTGACCTGAGAAGCCTATCAACTCTCGCGATATCCCAGAGATACTGCTGTATACTTCGAAATGAACCGACACGCCGACGATATCTTGACCTCGTGTGGCATGAATGAAGTATTTTTTTGTGTCGTGGGCGATAGTTTGATTCCAGTGAAAGTTTCATCCACGTTCTTCTTGCACTGAACTTTGCTCAAGAATATTGCACCACTTCTTCGATTTTCACAACGACCTCTCTAATAGGCAGGTGTGGTGTTTTCAAACTCAGGTGGTTGAAGAGGGGGGGACGCCCTGATGCCGTTGGTCCATGTGTGTTGACAGCCATGCGTTTGAATTTATGCTTCAGTGATGATCATCGATTCTGCAAGTCCGACCAAGAGAATGAGGATGTGAATTCTTCACTTTGACCTGAGAAGCTTCAACTTGCACCCAACGCGACCGGTGATATGCACGTACCTATACAAGGGATCGCCCAGCGTGGGCTCATTCGAGCATAGTGTCATTTCGAACCGCAACTCGCTTATGTGTGCATGTTTTTTTTGTTAGCATCGACTGCGCTAACCGTCTGACCAGTGAAAAGACGTCAGTCTCACTGCGGTTGATAACACGAAGACACCTCTAAATGCCATTAACTGGGACACCCCACATGTGTGTGTATGTGTGTGTTTTTTTTTGTAGACCGTTACGCGAAAGGCCAAGAAGGCGAGGGCGAGGATGGAGAAGGACGCCGGCCGCCTGGAGACCATCGCCGACGTCGGCAGCGCGGCCGACTTCATTCGAGTCGCCAAGAACGCGGGTTAGTTTGTTGTGTGCCTTCTCTGTAGGCCGCCCACCCGTCGCCCTCGGGTACGGAGCAAATACAGCACACGTTTGAACCAGAGCCAGTGAGAATAAACACGACGCTTCCTTCCCTTTCACTTAGCTCTACAGGCACAGGAAATATCTGATTTTGGGCGTGTTGTTCCAACAGGGCGGAAACTGTCGCCATGATCCGTGACTGCAGCGGTATTCCTCGCGTGGACCATGCCCCCCCCCCCCCCCCCCCCCCCCCCCCCCCCCCCCCCCCCCCCCCCCCNCAACCCCTCGTGGGTTATCCTTCAGCGTGCTTTGACTCCCCTCGCCGCTACCCTCGCCCTCCCCGACCAACCCCGCGTGCAATTGGTGTGTTGTTTTTTTTCTTGGGTCTGAACACCCCCTCGACGTTACACGCGCAATTCTTCTGTTTCGGAATGGTTGTTCGAGCAACCGGGGTTGCCCGAGCATGGTGCCATGCGATATTTGCACCGTCTGCCCGCCTATCTTCACGTAGTGCAGGTTCATCGTGTGTTTTTCTACAGTACCATATCGTGTCCTTGCCGATTATCATGTGGGCCGCACCCTGTCTCCAACCTCCACGCTCCATCTTGGTGTCTCTACCACCCTCAAAACGGATTTTCATTTTAACTTGATCTCTCCTTCGTTGTTTCCTGGCATGTTCGTTGCGGCGTTGGCAGATGGCTTTGGAGCTGATATGGAAGGCGGGGACGATGATGCCTTCGGGGGGGGCGCCGGCAGGGGAAGAAAAAAGCAGAAGGGGGGAGGGGGGGCTCTTGGTCGCGCCATGGGAGCCGTGGGCGGGAGCATGTCGGGGGGGGGCTACGCAGAAGGGGGCAACGGGAAGGGAAGGAAGAAGAAGCGCCGACGATAAAAGACTTGCGCATTTTGCTCGTTGTGGTGATCGTCTTATGTGGCACATAAATTTTACACGATTCTGTCGAATAACCAACGGAATTTTGGGGTAGTGAAGGTGTGTTTGGACTTTGCTGAGGTCTGGGCTGCTGCATCCCCCGCGGCCTACTCGTGGAAGGGAAAATATTCCGCAACTACGCCAGCAAAGGGGGTCCTTTTCTCTTCTAGTTTGTTGTCCTTGGATTGGAACTAATTACATCGCCTCTGTGCAGCGGCTTGCAACCTACGGTTGTTCCGGTCACGCTTCCAGACTTCGACCATGGATGGGCAGAGATCGTCGACGTGCCGTTCGGCCACACTAGGCTTTGAAACCTGAAGCGGACGGGGGTGGGCTCTGTGAAGTCGATAGCTCTGAGCGTCCTTACCCTGCAGATTCCGCTCGTTCACTCCGATAACCGTTGAGAGAGGAGAGCACAGTTACTCTGGTTTTTATCGTTTAGTATGTTGGCGTTGAAACTTGCCAAATGATGGGCCAACAGCACCGGACACATGGCGGCGTGGGAGCAGCGGCAGCATCAGCAGAGTTGCTGTGTAGGTCTCTTCATGCCGAGCAGTGCATCCAAACCTCTTTGTTGGGATGCACGCGAAACGATGACGACAGTGAAATAGAAATCCCACAATAGTTTGGTCTTGGGTGTGTGGCGCGTACCGCGAAGGAGCGTGACAACACAGATCGACCCTCTGACTTATTTTTGCAGTCGATCTTGACATCACGTACCGCTCGGCATGTCGCACCTCGTTGCCTATGTGGAGGGATCGATCGAAAGCTTTGAAACTCATTCGAGGGTGTGTATTAACACTTCATTTTCACGCCCTATGCTACAGTAACCTGCCGCTGTTTGTGTTTTTGGGAGCAGCGGGCTGTTGGGTATAGGGGATGATATTTGTCGGTATTTGACACCTACAGTAGAGATCCCTGTTTAGTGCCGGTGTGTGTCCCGCGATTTCACCGGCACTATTCAATGTGCGGAACAGAATGACTTGATAAACGCCCAGGCACTATTCCCGGCAACCGGCAATATGCAGGAACTTCACACATGGGTTGGGATGGACATACTTGTATGTTCATACACATGTACGTACGTGTGACGGTCCCGGACAGAGACTTTGACCCTTGACCGTTCGCGAATGCGCACTTTGCCCAGATCACTTGGCAACCTCGCTGAATGTTTTTGGGAGAACTTCGTGCATGATGAACAGAAAGGATACCCTTTCGAGGTTCGACCACAGCCGAAGGGGGTGTGAACTGGTCTTTAAAGTGAGTGGGAGAAAAAAATCGGGTGGACGATGCCGGGATCATGCTGTGTCGAGGACGGTGTATTTTTCTTTTTTCTTTTTGTCTCACATCATTGGACTCTGTCGTCTGCCCCTCTGTCCCCTATCCTCCACCTCTTCTACCAGCTACACGACCCAACCGGGGTCACACAGGAGAAGGGGGTCGGACCCCCTCCTGCGTTCCTGCCCGAGATATTTTTATCGCGAGAAGGGTACAGCAATCCCTTCCCTCGCGACTTACGAAGTCGATCAAGTTTACTAACAACGAGCTTTGCAGCGCGTCGCTTCCATCGGAGACCAGGATTAAATTAGCGAGAAAAACTCACTCTGTCGGGACTCGAACCCATGATCTGACCTTCAGCAGGCTGCGAGGCTACCTACCAGATCACCGGGGCGACCGGTGTATGTTTGGTGCCGAACCGTAGACCCTGCTGTCAGATGCGCAATATACTCCCTCACAGAAGATAAAATCCAGTAGGCATTCTTCACCTCCTCACGAAAATATTCCAACACCTCCCTACGACTGTGGAAATTGCTTCGCGCTTCACTCGCAAGACTTTCGTGATTTGGTTTGTCAACAGGCTCACAATACGGAGTTTGCGAACATCGGAATTCGATTTGATTTCGATCTTTTTTATCCACCCGAGCGCCGAAGACCGCGGGATCTTTAGGAATTTGATCTTTCGCTTTTACGAATTGCCCTTAAAGACCGCAGAAAAGATTGAATTCCATCTTGCTTGCATCTATCTTTTTGGGAACAGTTTCTGGTTGGCCTGTACTTCCCGAGATACTCCCGACGTTGTCCGGACACATGCCGCACCAGCCCGTGAGGCTAGCTATGCACCCACACCTCGGCCGTGATACACACTACCATGGCGAGCCAGCTACAGTACCGCAAGACAGTTAGACAGTCGTCACTGCACGCCAGACCCGGTGCAATGCATGCTGCCGATATGGTGCATTTGCGCCCTTTGAACCGCAGCATACCGTTCTACATGCTCCTCTTGAGTGACACACCAAGTCGGCGTGACGAGGATGACGGCTATGCTGCGAGCGACATAGATCTTAGGAGTGCTGCACAGGTGGAGGCGGAGGTGACGGGGTTAGGGATGCTTCAAGCGGCGTGGGAGCGTGAGGAGCTGCTGTGCGTGCGTCCTGTGGACCGTGCTCCGGTGATACGTCTGTCGCGGACGATCGACTCCGTTGATGACTGCGACGCGTATCACTAAACCGCGGGGCAGCGGTAGTAGTAGGAGGAGGTCCTTGGCCTTCGTGCTGTGTGTTCACCGAAACTCTGGCGAGGGGAGCGGCCCTCGCCGGAGGACTCGTGTTGCCATGAACACCCGGCAACTGAACCGGGCCAGCCTTCTCATGAGTACGTTGACCTCCATCGTTCTCCATGATTGTTTAACAGCGGTTGTGAGTGTAATGTGGTGGTAGCCTTGCGGTGGGGGTGGAGGCGAAAGGTCTGCTGTAGGTTATGCCGAGCGGGACCAAGTCTGCTGCCGAAAAGAGCCGAAAAGGGGTCTTCGCCGTAGAAAAATATTGCGTTCCTGGAAGTTTCTGCGTGATCAAGACCACAAAATTTCACTCGCATCTTCGCAAGCTGTTTTCGAAATCAAATTTTGATCTCATCTCGAACTTCCTGGCAACTTCGAAGATGAAATCCCAACACCAGTCCGCAAACACCCTAATATATATGCATATATCCCGGGTCCAGCAGGCTTTCTTCTTTCTTCGATGTACATCGATGTACAATCACTGCTGAATATGAACTAAATAAAATTTGCAGATCTCTAGGATGATGGTGTTTGTCGAACGGGTAGCTTTCATAATGAATTTGCGAATGATATGAATTATCGAAGGACGCTTCACTCCCGCAGAAGAGACATGTCCGCCACGCTCGGTACAAGTATTCAGGAAGGGACCTCTGGTGGAAGATGCCGAGACCAGGTGACAAGGTAACTCGCTTTCGTAGTAGAGATTGAGAAGATGCACACACTGCCTGTTGTATTGTGCGGATGCTGGAGGAGATACACACAATTTGCCGGAAAATGAACGCTGTTCATTCTTGCCTCCAGTATGACGATGAAATTCCATCGGAGTGACTCAGAACTCCAAATATATTTACGATATTCACTCACGGTATCATCTAATTCCAAAGAAATGAGACTTTCGAGGAACAAAACGTACGTATCTTCATCGTTGAGGTGCTTTGAAAGCGAAATGTCTTCACAATGCAACCTCACTTCATCATAGATTCATCAAGAACCCATGTCGTACAATTGGATATCAGTTGTTGCTGTTTCCATGAATCACACTGAAGCCGTAAGATATTTCAAGTCGTTCTGTCTCGTGAACTTGGCTTCTTCTCATATTCCTTCCAACGAAAATTGTCTGATCAGTTCCTCAATCTACGTCATCGTTGACATCAGGAACATTGAACGGAACTCATGTTGCTACGAGACGGGGAAACTGTTCACTCAAATGCAAGCACGAATTCTACAAGACCTTTTGCCAAGAGGACTAACTAATTCAAGTGGACACATCTGATTTTTGTGTAAGCATCACCACACATTCCACTGCATTCTTCATGCGCACAGCATGCAATGTACATCGAGCAGCGTGTCAAACAACACGAAGGCAATACACCACATTTATTGTACAGAATGAAAATCGACAATTAGACTACTGACGATGGCGGTAATATCTACCCACGATGTCGAAAATACGTACAACATAATCACAGCAGACAGGTCTCTACAAAGACCAAATACATACAGACAGAGAACGGTTCACATTCTTATCAACTCCAGTTCGCCCGGAAATGCAGCCCTCTCATCCTCTTCTTCAGGGGAGCGTAGATACGCGGCCAAGCATCGCCATGCCAACACTCAGGCAAACGTTGAACAGACCCATCCCGCCGCCCGCGGCGAGTTGGTTTCCACCGCTGACCGAGGTGTCTTCCACTTCTTCTTTTTCGTCGTCTTCAGAGCTGTGAATAAAAATGCCAAGGCAGGGAGAGCGCGAGCTCGATAATAGGTGGATGCATGAAGAAGTACAGTGTATCTTGCACGTCGAGGTAGGTTGCCTTCAGGCGTGGGGAGTCTTTGCTTCAAGGAATGCACGACACCACTGGTGCTATTTTCCGCCTACATCCTCAATTGGTACTGTACAGTGTACCCAGTTTTTTTCTATTCTGTGCGGCGTCGGCTCAAATGTCACCTCACGTGGAGAGAGGCTTGTTGTGATTGGTGCTATTGGTTGTGGTGGCACCACGACGTGATTTTCATTGATTCGGGTTGAGGGAATATCTGGTAGGTGCTGTTGTTGATGACACGTATGTGGTCGAGATTGCTGCGGTTGGTGGTGTTCTTTATTGGTAGCTTTGGTTCATGTCGGTGTCTTACCAACAATATCATGTTTCAACCTTTGCGACTGGACAACAAACGTTTCGTCGAGTGAGCCATTCTCAAACCTACTATCTTCACGAGGGGCACCGAAGGAACAACTGTACAGTGTTCTACAGGGGTGGGGACCAGTCTACAGCAATGACTTACTGCCAGACGCCTGAGACTAACCGCTTCAACGACGATTGTCATTGAAATTTCAAGCTTCCGAAACCACGAGCAAGAGCAAAGATTAGTCTAAGTTGGATTGTAGCAAAACATGTTGGAGATAAAAAACTATTGCACTACCACCACCACCACCACCACCACCACCACCACCACCACCGCAACCATTATTTACCACCACCGACCATTACCACGCGCACAACATTGACCTCCTGTTTCGTTTTCCGAAAGTGTTGTACTTTTTATGTTGTTTTCAGCTAAAACAACAAGTAACTGAATAGTCTTCAAGTTCTGCACGGACCTGTCCTCATCCTCGTCACTATCCCCGTCGATAACCGCATCCGGGGAGTCGCAGTCGTAGTTCTCAAGTGCTATCGTCACCTGGTAAGAAGGAAACGGTCGTGGGCAGGGAGAGAGATAGAGAGAGAGAGAGAGAGACTTCTCATGGGCACGACCGCAAGGAGGACGTCAGATATATCTATCTGCGACGTGCTTGGGCAGGACGAGCAACGTGTGGAGTGAGCTCAAGACAAGGGTAATGAACACACGTCAAACGCGAACCATTCGAGGCCACGTCCTCGCTCTTCTCTGTCTGTACCGCATCCTGTCCATACATACCAAGAGTTCAACCCTGTTTCGAGCGCTCACAGCGAATCGAGGAGGTTAGACACTTGCTCAGTTGACGATGCTATCGTCGCCCTGCCGCCCCCCCCCGGGCCGCGCAAGAACTCCGATCGACTTCTCTTCACGGTGACAATCAACAGATACAAAGTTCCATCTTATTTTTTGCCCCACCTCTCCAATGGAATAGTCCTCCTCGCTCTCATGAGTCGCCTGAAGGAACCAGACTGAGTCTGTGTCGATAGCGGTGGGGTCTGTTGCACAATCGGCCACTTTGAGCATCGGATACATGGCGACGTCGGTGTCCCCAATTTTGCCGATCACCCAGTAGCCGCCTGAGGAGTAGGACCCGCAGTTCGCGGCGTGAAACAACAAGATTAAAATGGTGCAGGTGAAATTACTGTTATATTGTTGCTGCTGTTGTTGACGATGATTAAGTTACTGTGGTAAATGGTGTTGCTGCTGCTGTTGCCGTAAAAGTTGTTTTCCGTCTCGATCTTCTCTGTAGACTGTGACAGCATCATCGTCCCCGCCGCTGAACAGCCGAGCAGCGGACTGAGAAACCGCATGAGACACACAGGAAAGTGCACCAATAGGTTGTTCACTGAGCGTTTCGTGGACAGAGTGGAGTCATTGCAACCGCTCTGCTCGACTAAAAGGTCAAGCAGCGCTCGATAAATGACTATTCTACATCCTTTGCTACCCTTGAACCATGATCTTCGAAGGAGACAGACAAACTCACTCCGCCTCCCCCGCGAGGAAAGCAATATTCATTGCATTTTTTCATACTTGAAATCCCCTCCGTACTAGACTATGGTGTTTTGCAAACGTACAGGCGTTGCTCGACCGTACCGATAACTTTTGGTTCTGAGGCAAGCTCTATGTACTTGCAACAAAGGTGGAAGGCATTTCACACAGTAGCTTTAGGCACTTGGGCATGGCCTGCCATCAACCATGACACCCTAGGGCCGACGAAAACCCGGCATATCGCTCCGTCCCGGCATGGTGGGGACGCGAGGTGAATGGCCTAACGACGACGCCATGCGCCTTTACAAGAGTGCATCCCCCCTAAAACCATTGAGCTGACCATGACGGACAATCCTCCAGAACATCCTCGAAAGCGCATACTTTGCCAGGAGAACACTGACATGTTGGTGTGAGAGATAAGCGAAACTTCTCGTTCTCAACAATGACCAAAAGCTCGACTTCGAGTGTTGTCTGCTGTCAACCACGACCCCTCCTTGTCCACCGAGAAATCCATACCGCCCCTGAACTACATCCTCCAAGGGTCGTAGCCAGGAGGACAATTCTCACATGTTGCTGTGAGAGATCGGCGAAACGTCTCGCTTTCAGCAGTGGACACGAGCTCGATCTCGAGGTCTTCGTCCATGGGCTCGTTCGACGCATCAGCGTCCGGCTCCCTGAGACACAGCAAGCAACAGCGCAAAGAAGCAGCAGCAGAACGAAGCAGCAGCAGCAGCAGTGACAGTATTGTTGATGATGTGGAGCGGAGAGATCGTTGCATTAACATTCAAGATGGTTTCAATGTGGTGAAAGCCCGAAAGCAAAAGGTTCGTTCCGTGATGTTCACGATTTTTGCTTCTGTTTCTTGTTCTTATTTTTGACACAACGAGTTCACCTCTTACGCCGATAAAATAGTCTGGCATCGAGTACCAATGAATTCAACGAAATCTATGTATTTCGTTGTACGGCGAACTAATTCTGGTGCCAGGGACTCCACTCCCGCTACGTAGGTCACCAAACATTCCATGAGGCTATCGATCATCTTCGTTTGTGTTGTTTCCACCGCCGATTGATGTATTTTACCCGGTTCGGGAAGTCACCACAAGACCCCCACAAGTGTGAAAACTCCTAAAATTCTTGGGTCTTTTTCCACCAACCTCTGACGCCACACACCGACGCCCGATGTGACGAGGCGGCCAACAGAAGGATGGAAAAAACAGCTGTGCGGGAAGAACACGCACACACTTGCTGTGCTTTGTTTGATGTCCCTGGTCCACCTACACACCAAGTTTTTGTTTGATTCCAGCGTTTGTTACGTATCGCTGGCGGGAAAGGACGCAGTGTGTGTCTGACGCTCCTGCCTTAAGCCGACAAGATGGGGTATTTTTTCTCAACAGCGTTGGCGTTAGGCAATGCAGTTTCAAAGTCATCCCCCCCCGCCCCCCCCCGGTGTTTGCCATGGGGGTTGGGTTTTCGTCGCTTGGCAACGACGTTGTAAAACAAGCCCCCCCCCCCGGTGTTTGCCATCGGGATTGGGTTTCGTCGCTTGGCAACGACGTTGTAAAATAAGCCAATTCACTTCGTGAACTCGGCAACCAGGTTACCGCTTTTTTTTTTACCTCCGTTTTTTTTTTGGCGGTAACCATAATGGTGGTCGAGTAGATCATGTTGTGCGGGGTGGAGAAACCTCTCTCCGCGCAAGGGGGATGATCGCACCACGTTGTGTTAAAATGGTCAAGCACCCTCGACGCAGTTACACAGTGCTTACAACTGTCTCTGGAAGTGAAAGCACCAGAAAGTAAACTAAGTCATACGCAGCTGTCATCCGTACGCAAGGAAGTAAGCA